TAATAAGTAGGTAGATAGGTAGGTAGATATAGATAAGTAGATAGATAAATAATAGATGGATAGGTGATAGATAGAGATAGACCAACTCATTGCAATTGAGCTGAATATAGTGACTCTACGTAGGGTTTTCGTGACTCAATCTGTCTGCCCCTGAGTGGCTGAGGTTTTGAACTGCAAACCTTGTGATTAGTAACCTAATGCCTATATCACATTAGTAACCTAATGCCTATATCACTAGGAATAATGATTCCTAGACAGAATCTAAAAAAATCAAAATCAAACATTTTACTACAAAGAGCTTTCTGACTCGTAGCTGTTCCATACAGGGTTTTTGGTGCTGCAAATCCTTGGGGAGCAAATAGCTTCATCTTTCTAACTCCCTGCTTTCTCCACAACAGCTGATGGGGTTAAACTACCAACCATTCAGTCCAACACCTATTCTGTAGACCACAGAGTTTCTTGGATGGATAAATAGGCTTTTAAAAAAGTATAATCATTGTTTAAATGAGCATTTTTATTCCAGTACTTAGTGATCCTGGCCTTTCCCTCACGCTATATCTGCATTTTCCCTTTTCTGTAATGTAAACACTGGCTCTTCACAATGTTAGTTTATGTACTTATATGTTTAAGTTATTATGAAGTATAATCCTTCTGTGCAGAAAAGAATGAACAGCGGGTGTTATTGCTGTTGTTAGGTGCCACGGAGTCAGTTCCTGCTCATAGGAAGGCTTTGTACCATGGAACTAAACACTGCCCTGTGCTGCACCGTCCTGATAACTGTGTTATGGTTGAGCCAGTAGTTCAGCCACTGTGCTAATCCTGTTGAAGGCCTTCCTCTTTTTCCCTGAACCTCAACTTCACCTATCATAATGTCCCTTTTCCAGGCACTTGTCTCTCTTGACAACATGTCCAAAGTGCTGGAAACAAAATCATCTTTGCTTCCAAGGAGTACTCTGGCTGCACTACTACCAAGACAGAACTGGTTATTTTGGGAAACCTTTTATACCTTCAATATTTTTTTGCTAGCCCCATAATTCAAATGCATCTAATCTTCTTTGCTCTTCCTTATTCAATGTACAACTTTCACAAGCATAAGAGGTGATTAAAAATACCATGGTTTGGGTCAAGCCCAGTTTATACCTCAAAGTAATATTCTTACTTTTCAACTTTAAAGAGATCTTGCTCAGCAGATTTACCCAATAAAATGCATCATTTTATCTCTTGACATTTGCTTTCATGAGCATTGATTCTGGGTCCCAATCCTTGACTGCTTCGATCTGGTCTTCATTTATCATGGTGTAACCTACTAGTTCAGTTGTAAAAATTTTCGTTTCCTTTACATTGAGTTGTAATGTAAAACATTCTATTTTAATTTTTTTCCACTTGAAAGCAGTCACTGTTTTATTGAGACCAGATTGCAAAAATAATCATGGCAGATAGATACTTTAGTTCATCCTTCTAATAAGTCTGTTGATCTGGTCTTCCCTGTTGCCTGCATCTCCACCTTCTACGAATTGGGTGGTCTTTTTCTTCATCCCACCTCGCAGAGAAGATAATTTGAAGGGTCACAGGAAGTTATTTGCTTCTTTGAAACGTTTCCCAACAGCATAGATCTCATGAATCAGATCCTCCATGCAGATGATGCCATATTGACCAAGAGACCATGCAATCAGAGTGTTATCTGTCAGGGCAACACGCTTCTTAGTGATTTTGCCATCACCACGCTTATAGATGAGTTCATTCACTGACTTCAGGGCTGGGTACCCCCATGCAATGTATGGCTCCATAATCCTCAGCATGTTAACTGAAGCCTTGGTAAGCTTAACAAATGTGCTGTTGGAAATCTGGCGAAGGCAAAGAAGCTGCAACACGTTTCGAACCTTGGGGCTCACACCATTGATACCGCTGATCCTGATAACAAACGCCAGCTTGGGCTCACCAGGCACATAGCAGTTGCCATCTTTTCTTGCCATCCAAGCCATTCAGAATACAGTTTTGCACATCTGCCTGTATTCCTTGTGATAGTGCTTAGCTTTCTCGTAGATAAGCTTCCTCCTTGCCTTTTGAAGCATCTTTTGAGCAAACTTCTTTCTTAGGCGTTTGATCTTTAGTTCTGCAAAATTCCTTCGCTTTTGCTTAAGGGTCTCTGCAACAGCTGGGACCTTCTTCTTCTCCCCGACAGCCTCCGTGATTCCAGTTGGTTTAAAAAAAAAAAGCCTATTTTAATTTTTAAAGGAAGTAGATAGCACATTGTTTTATTTAAAAAATAGTACTCCTGAATTAAGAAAGAAAATATAGCTAAGAACCATCAAGTCAATTCCTAATCATAGCAACTCCACAACAGAATAAAATGCAGCTCGGTACGATACTATACTCACAAACATCTTTATATTTGATTCCATTGCTGCAACTACTGTCAGTCTTTATTTTATTTCCCTTTCCTGTTATTTCACCTCTGCTTTACCTGGCCTAATGTCTTACTCCAAGGACAGGCTGCTCATTATAACATGCTTAAGAAAGTGAGACCAGATTTTACCATCCTTGTTTCTAAGAAACATTCTAGCTATATTTTTTCCAAAACAGATTTGTTTATTTGTCTATATTCTATTATTTTGATAAACATATATAACATATAGGACTTAACCAAAACCACTATCCATTTTTAAATGTTATTCTACATCTTAAAAAACAGTTTCTCCATTTCCCTCCCATTCCCCAGTCCCAGGAAACCACTAATAATCTTTTGTCTATATATTAACATATTTTAGATACTTCATGCAAGTTGGATGATGCACTATCTATACCTTTTCTTCTGATTCATTTCACTCAGCTCAATGTTCTTAAATTTCATATATTACAATATGCATTAGACCATCACTTTCCTTTGTGACTGAATATTCCATTGTGTGTATACAAGGGTACCCCCCCAAATGGATTTTTTTCCAAAGCTATGTCTTTAAATATTTTTACAAAACAACCTTATCACCTTCAAAGTTCTCTCCATTACACTTAATCCATTTGTCAAATCTGCTATTGCATCCTTGGAAACATTTTTCAAACTCATCCGTTCAAACTCATGGCTGACAGAACCTCCCTCAATTTTTTCCTCAAATCACTTTCATCCTTTCATATCCCTCTTCATTCTCAGAAACAAAAAGAAGTCACACAGAGCAAGGTCAGGTGAGTAAGGTGCATGGGGCAAGAGAAGCATGTTGCTTTTTGCCAAAAACTGGCATACTGAGATGGCTGCATGAACAAGTGCATTGTCATAGGGACAAAACCAGTCCCACATCTGCCACAAATTAGGTGTTTTTAGTAGCACACTGTTATGCAATATTTTCAGAACCTCTAAATAGAAAGTTTGATTAACAGTCAGACCTGGTGGAACAAACCTCAAATGCACTGCAAGTGGACATTTTCATCTGTTCAGGAAGTTGACCAACATCCAGAACGAGGTTTGTCATCAATCGACATTTAACTGTTTCTGCAAAGAGAAAAATAGTCCTACATTTCCCCCCCATAGTGTTGTCCCTGTAAACTGTGTTCAATACCACAACTGTTTCTGTGGCGTTTTTCCCAAGCAGGAAATAAAATTTCACAACCACAAGCTGTTCTTTTAAATCGGCCATCACAAAAAACAAGGTTCAAGTGAAATGGCTTTTATGAGAAAGTTCACTGAGACCAGAGAGAACCTGCCCAGGCAAGGCACTGGGTGCACTAACTCAGAGCGAGTTCCTCAAAGATCACCTAGCAGGAAAAATGTGTACTATGTAAGCTCTGCTCAGTCTAGTGCAATTCCGGTTTTTGGCGGGGTACCCCCTCCTAAACCACATGATACTAATTTTATAGATCTTTCTTTGTAACATGCAACTTAAGTTACTGTCTTTTATTTTAACTATTAGTCTGAATAACTTCCTTTATCATTTCTTTAGCAGATCCAATAACAAACTCTTTCAACTTTTGAAATATTGGAATATCTTACCTTCAACCTCATTTTAAAAGAATTTTTCCAGATAAAGAATCGTTGGTTAATAGTTTTCCCCTCTTTCACCAGCACTTAAAGGGTTATTCTTAACCTTACTGCATGATCCCTTGTTTGTGAATCACTTTAGGTTTATCCTACTTGAAATTTGTGGAGTGTACTGTGTTTATTTCTTCTTGTCTACATAACATCTAGTTTGTATACAACTAGATATACAAGGTTTGACTTATTTAACATATTTTATGCTTTGAAAACCTAAGATATATCCCCATTAGAGCTAGTTTCAGAATCCAAAAAGTTAACCACCAGAACACCAACAGCTGGAAAACTAGCAACAAGGATAAATCGCTGGTGGCACTAGCATTGGAGGCCAAAATAATGGATGATTAGACCAGGAATGTGACACCTTAAATTAATTACTTACTGACAGGAGTAAAAAAGCAACCCCCCTTTTTCACTTTTGTACTTACATGGAATAAACACACTTAAGTCATTTGAAAACAAAGCCAAATCATGTAGGGAAAGAAACCCTTGATATAGGGAGAAATTGTGTAGAATGAACTTTCAACGATTTGATAGTTAAGGTTGTGTATCAACTTGCCTGGGCCAGGATTTTCAGTGGTTTGGCAGTTAACATTTAACAATCTCCCCCATAATCTAACTGAACATAATGTAATCAAAGCCAGTCATTATTTAGCATCTAACATAGTATGCAATTAAGATTGAATGTAACACCCTTAGTCAGGTAACAGCCCTGATACAATTAAATGGGCATTTCCTCTGGTGACTAGCCTTCTTCCAGTTGAAGAATGCTGTAGAAAGTTAGATATTTTTTATTCTTGATTTGGATCCTCCATTTAACTCATCAATTTCTAGTTTTTTGGTCTTTTTCTTACCATATTGCTTGCCAATCCAGGGAGTTTTTAAAAGCATGTCATTTTACCTTCCAGTCTTGAATTCATTAGACTGTACAGCCACAATTCTGACCTGATGACCTTGAATTTCTCTACTTCCGCAGCCACCAGCTTGTAGTCTTCATGCCAATCTTGGGCCAGTCAACCCACACAGCTACTTGAGCCAAGAGAAACTTTGACCTTAACATCAGATGCTCAGACTTTGATCCCTCCTGGGCTTGGAGCCACCTGTTTTTACAACTATGTAAGTCATTTCCTGGATGTAAATCTCTCTATATACACACATATAACGTTCATTGGATTTACTTCCCTAGGGAATCTAGGCAAAGATTCTCAAGGACTAAATATTTGTCTAAAAATGAATATACTTTAAACTCTGGGATGGTTGAAAGCTTGGAATAAATTTGAGTGATGATAGATAGATGATAGGTGGATAGATAGAAAGATACATAGATAGATGGTAGATAGATAAAAACCTAAGCAATGCATTAAAGAAACTAACAGTTATGTGATATTAATAATGGGAGGATACACATACCAATAAACTATTTGTAATTTGAAAGGTTAAAAACTGTTTTTAAAAGCTAAAACAGATCATGTCTTTGGGTCAAAAGATTGTTTTTTTAAAAACAAAATTTAGAAGGAAGAATATATATATATATTCTGCTATATATGTAATATATCTAATGCAATATGTCTAATATATATCCCCCTTCTATCAAATACATATATGATGTTTATAACATCTTATATATTATATATATGTAATATTTGTTATATAATATACTATATATATTATTTTCTCCTGTTCCATTAGCATCCTTTACTGGGATATATAATTTTAAATCAACACTCCTAGATACCTCCGTGCTGACCTTTATGTAGAGTAATGTCCTTATTTCTTTCCTTGCCTACATTTATGTTTCTTAAATGTCATAATATCAGTTGTTTCTAAGAACTCCGTCTCTCCTGTTTCAATTTTTTTTTATATTCCAAAGGCTTTTTATGTTATAAAACTTAATGCATTTAAAAAATATCAATGTTGTGGAATTTAAAATTTTCAAAATGCAGCAGAGGAAGCTGTATTAGTTAGATCTTCCAGTGAAAGGAGAAAAGTCAGCACTGCTCTGAGGTTTCTGGGAGACACGTGACAAAGGTTGGAGACGGGCATACAGTAAAGTGTACCAAATGCGAGAAGTGGAATGAGAAAATAGAAGTAAAGTGTTTAACCGATCACATTATTATGTTGCTATTATTAGCACACATACTCAAAAGTTTCTGTCTCAAAGATCAAGTTTGAAATAGAATTATTTTAGGTCATATTTTAGCACATCAAGAAAATGTTTAAATAAAGGTATTTTTAGGGGCACATTTCTATACAATATACTTCCTTCTGAAATCCCAAACCTTTTATTAACACCCTTAATTTTTGTAAAATCACGGATGTCCACCTGATGCAAAAAGGAATAAAGTAACTGCTAGTAAAACCCCAGCTTGGGTAGAGGAATGCAAAATATGTGTTTTATGTTCAAAATAATTTATGATTATTCTGAAAACATACAAGTATATACAGTATCTCATAGATATTATATATTAATTCTGTTTGTTCTAATATTAATATGGTAGAAAATATAATTCAAACAAGAAAAAATTGGATTCAAATTGTGTGAAAAATATTTTTATTACAATACCCTGTAACTTTTAATAAAGGTCAATTAGGAAAAAAAGTAATATAATTAGAGTGGAGGGACTAAATCAATAATAATTCAGTGTCAAAAGTGGTAAGTAATTAGAGGAAAATTTAGTGTAATACAGCAGAAGACAGACTTCTTATTTTTGAAGCTGTACTGTACAACTTTAAAATAATTTTTTAAAACATCAAATGACTGATGGAGTAATTATGAAAAATTCATATTTGAATGCATACATTATAGTGCAGGTGTGAAATTTAGACTAGGCTGATATAATTAAAATGACATTCTTTTGAAGTTAACTCTTTCATGTCCAAGTTACTTTCTGCTTTGAATTATTTTCTGATCCCATGTGCTGGTCTCATTCACAGTATGTACGACACCAAGGTTTACTTTGAAACTGCACAGAGCTGCTAAGAAAGACCAGTTTATAAAGTTGACTTTAAGCGGATGTAAGATTTTCTCTCTCCTTTGCCCGTACAAAACATGGATTTTAGAGGAAAGTAGTGAAGCAGCTTTTATTCATTTTCTTTTTCTCCCTTCTTTTTTTCCAACCCCACATTCTCTTCATCTCTGTCTGTTGCTCCCCCACCCCATGGCTCACTCCTCTCTCCTTTCCTTTTCTCCCTACTCCCTCCTCTTTTTATTTGCTTGTTTTCTTCCTTCCTCCAGTTTTCTTTTTCTTTCTCTACCTTATTTTCTATTTCTCAATAGTGTTTTCTTCAAAAGAAGCTTATATTTGTAATAATTTTTGAGACTGATATTATTTCATGAGTTAAAGTCAACTTTATAATTCACCACTGTACCTTGTATAATTAATATTATAAGTTATCATTTTATTTAGCATAAACATTGTGTTTACCAATTGGGAGGCTTAAAATTCACTTTAAAAAGTGAAGAGAAAGATCCAAAAAATTCATATTGTACTGAATCTTCAACTTTAAAAGTTACTGTCTAGTAACTTTTAAAGTTGCTTTCTCCCTGAAAATTTCTCATTTATGCATTTCCTGTATAAAGTGATGGACAGAGATAGACATAAAGGACTCCCCCATCTTTTATCTCATCTGGAAACTTGCAGTTTCAGATACCCCATCCCTGTTTAATCTTATTCTCTCTCTTTCACCAAAGTGTTGTTTATCTCTCCCTTAAGAAAATGTTTAAACGCCCTTATAGCCTCACCAAACTAGGTTCTGTCTCAACGGAAAAGGATTTTCACTAACGCTTTTAATAATGCTTTGTTTAAATTGTTTTAAGATTAAAGTTACAAATATTGTGAGTCGTCTAAAGTATTTTAATTAATTGAATAAGATTAATATTCATATCAATAAGGAAGTGAGGATCTGGTCTGCCTTCTCCCTCAAAGGCCAGGCTCTCAGAGTTAATGCAGTCCTGGTAGGAGTGGGTACAGCCAGTCCTGGTACAGTGATCTCTGAATCAAATGGCAAGCCGCAATGTGCAATGTCAGAACAGAAACATGAGAACCCAAATCATAATTTCCATTCAGAAAAAGGGAGAGTGGGTGGTAAAAAATCTTGGTAATCTGGCATCAAATCACCTCCTCTCCTAATTGAGTTAATTTCCATCCCACACTTAATACATAAAATCATCCTGGAGGAAAACATTTTGTTTATATGGAATGTGGGACATGTTTTGTGCATTCTCAAACTTTCTTATCATGGGAAACTTCACAGCATAGAAAGGCCGTATAAAATTAAGAAATGTTGAAACGTATCCAGATATCTCATTCATTGTAATATTCATTTCAGGATATTGGAGAGAAACAGCATTCATTTAAGTATTGTTGAGTGGCTTCAATTTTTTTTTTAGCTTTTAATCCTAATTTTTGTCTACTTGAAAATGGCAGGGGAAGTTTTTATTTCTTTTCCGTATTTTCAAACACATTCTAGTGTATGCCTGGGGGACAGCCTTCGGTACACATATGAGTTGTTCAGTAATGACACCAGAAAGATAACATGTGAACGTAAGCTTCTGTCTTGTCCCCAGGAGCATTACTTTCCTCTTTTTATTTTCTGAATGTGACAAAATGAAAAAAATACTACTCTAAGACTTATTTCAATTTTAGGGCATACGTCTTGAAAAGTAATGTTCATAGTCATTTCATTTCTATAAAAATTTTTGTAATAGAAATTCTCCTTATGACGTGTACTTTTAAGTGTGTTTTTAATTAACCCTGGTGCTGTAGTGGTTACACCTTAGGTTGCTAACCTCAAGGTTGGTAGTTCAAATCTACCAGCTGCTCAATTGGAGAAAGATGAGGCTTTCTACTCCAGTAGGCTTACAGTCTTGGAAACCCGTAAGGGCATTCTACCCTACCCTATAGGGTCAGCATGAGTCAGAATTGACTCGATGGCACTGAGATGTTAAATTTTAATATTTTTAGAGAATAACATTGCACTTATTGTACACATTTTGACTCTAACTAGAAAGTGCATGGAAAAATCACTTAAAATCTCACCATGCTTGGTGGGGTGAAATAACTTCCATTGAGTGCCTTTCGCCTTGGTCGTTTGAAAAAGAGCTTTACGTAGTTTTCCTAATTCCACACGTAACGTACCTTTGCCCTGATTTTCTGTCCTAGAGAGTTACTTTTTTCCCCTCTCAAATTGACTTTTTTTAAAGCCAAAATTGGTTTTATTTTATTTTAAAACATTTTATTGACATAAACTTCAAACTCATACAATCTCATAGTTTAACCATATTGAGTTTAAAAATTATCGTCACAATGAATTTTAGAACATTTTTTCCATTCTTATACTTTATCATTATTAGCTTCCTATTTCACCCCCCTCCCAGTTCCTCCCCCACCCCACCCAACCTACCCTGTCATAGCCCCAAGAAGTCATTAATTCATTTACTGGCTTTATAGTATTACCTATCCTGGATTTCATATACAGAAAAACATAAACAACAACAACAACAAAAACTAATTGAAATAGCAATGTAAAACACAAAAACATCAATCTAAAAGCTAAAAACTAGAACAAATTTACAATGTTTCAAAAGAAAGATCAAATGATAAGGTGATCAATTTTAACCAAACTGCATCTGCAATCTTCCCCTTTTGTCTAGATTATCTGGCACCTTCTGGGTAAATTTTAAACAACATGATATTCGGCTACTTTATGACTAGCTTTCGGCTGTAGTCTACCCCGTAATTGGTCTGTTTTGTGCATTTTCCAGGCATTGGTTGGTTTACTAAACAAATTGAGTGATTTCTGGTCCATTGAATGGATCAGTGATCAATGGATAGTTCATGCTGGGCAGCCATCCAGTGAGATTGAGAAAGAGTTTGCTGGGAGGTTTTACAGTGAGGGGCAAGCAGCAGCAGGAGAGAGGAGGGAGGGGCTCTCCTAAAAGAGCTTTAATACAGGTCAAGAACTGCGGACACTGAAGCCCGCAAGGCATTTGGAAGAGGACCGGAGGCAGAGTCAATGGTGACCCTCCTAGCAGGGGCTCTCTGTGGCACAAGATTACAGGAAGCTGCTGCTAGGAAAGCAGCTAAGAGAGC